ATTTTTGTTAATTTAAGGTAATTCCATATAAAAAATTACTTGAATCAGATCCTGGCAATCCAAAAGATTTATTAAATAAATTAATTGTTGTTAAACTTAATGGTGGTCTTGGTACAACAATGGGTTGTAAAGGACCTAAAAGTGTTATTTCTGTACGAAGTGGTCTCACCTTTCTTGATATAACTATTCAACAACTTGAAGTAAAACTTTAAAAACAAATAATAATTCAAGATTTGTTTTTTCTTTTTATTTAAAAGCAACTCAATCGTACATATGGTTGTGATGTACCATTGGTTTTAATGAATTCATTTAATACTCATGAAGAAACAGAAAAAATTGTTCAAAAATATAGTCATGTTCCTGTTAAAATTTATAACTTTCATCAATCAAAGTTAGTTTTCATAGGAATTTTATTAAACTATACAGTAGTTCGACGTAGAACTTCCCTTAGAAGATAGACCAACGTTTCAGTTTCAAATCACATCGATTGGATTGTTCATTTTATAATACTAAACTATATTATGACTTAATATAAAATATCTCTTATAGAAAAATGAATTATTCAGTAAAATGACGACATATCAATGTTGATTTCTTATTGATCTCAATTAGTTATGAAAATATTATCGAGTTTAACAAGACTAATATGATGTTAGTCAAAAAGTTGATTCGAATTTAATGTAATTTTCAGAAACGATTTAACTTTAACGTACCAATCGAAAAAGAGTATGGTCCAATAATTGAAACGATGGATGCACATCGATACCCATGGAAAAAAAATTGTCTTCTATGATCATACAATTTTCAATCAGAAAGTCATCACTAAATCGACCTAAATAATCGATTTAATGATGGCTTCCTCTGGTTATTAAAGAAAATTCTTTTACATGGGTAGATAGATATTTTCAATATGATGAACTATAGAATATGAGTTCACAGGAAACCAACCATAAGAATGATCAACAATACAATTTTTAGCGAATCGAGAACAGTAGAAACTTTGTTAACAAAATATCATATATGTAATATTTGGAACTTGAATTCAAGTATTCCAGTATTTAATTATTGAATAGTTGAAATTTCAACTATTCAAGTATTCAACTATTCAAATTTTAACTTCTCAAGTGTTCTGCGAATATTCAGTGGAAAAGCGCGTTTTCCCACCTAACACACCTTTTATTTCAGCGTCGCGGCGTGGGGACGCGAATCGCCCCCCGAAGAGTTGCGACTCATGCACATCTCTGTGTACACTATTATTCCTACTCAATGCTGCACATTAGCTCAAGCTTCTCACATACTCTTTGTAGCATCCCAAGTAAAGTCTGCAGCATCTTAACCAAAACCTGTAGTATCCTAGGGAGTACTTGTAGCATTCTAGGTAATACTTGTAGCATCGTAGGTTATGCTTGCAGCATCCGAGAGGGTGCTCTTAGCATCATAGGAGATGCTTGTAGCCTCGCAGACAGTACCAGTCAATATTAGATGATTCTGGTGGCATTCCAGCCATTGACTAATTGAGTACTTGAATAGTTGAATACTTGAATTCAACTTTCAAGTTTGATACTACTGGAGAAAAAACAAAAGTTTGGAGTGGGCAGGGCCCGCGGCTCCCTATTGTTAATCCCTGTATCATTAACTAGAGGAAATCTTCCTTTAGAGACTTCTACATGTCCTATTTTTTTGGTGGAAACCTTCTAATTATCTTAGAACTTTAATATTTGAACAAATAACTGAAAAATTGTTATTAAGATATCCACGTCTTGATCGCGAAACTTTATTACCAGTGGCAACAAGTATTGATGGTTCAGATCATGCATGTTGGTATCCACCTGGTCATGGTGATGTTTATCAATCATTTTATCAATCGGGTTTACTTGATCAATTTATTGAACAAGGAAAAGAATATATGTTTTTAAGCAATATTGATAATCTTGGTGCAACTGTTGATTTATGTAAGATCAATGTTTTAGTTTTATTTGTTTCTATTTAATATATTTAAACGAATAGATATTCTTAAGCATTTGTTAAGCAATCGAATAAAACATGAATTTGTAATGGAAGTAACTGATAAAACACGAGCTGATGTTAAAGTAAAAATAAAGTGTTTTCTAATGTGAAAAGATTACTTTTGTTAATAAATAGGGTGGAACATTAATTGAATATCAAGGAAAATTACGATTACTTGAAATTGCTCAAGTACCAAAAGAATATGTTGATGAATTTAAAAGTATCAGTAAATTCCGGTAATAGAAAAAACAAGCCATAAAATCTAAATTATTTAAATTGTTTTAAGAATTTTTAATACAAATAATTTATGGGTAAATCTTTCGGCTGTAAAACGTGTTGTTGAAGAAAAAACTTTACAAATGGAAATAATCGTTAATCATAAAGTGAATATTTTAATTAAATAATAAAAAAACCAAAACTGAATATAATTTCTTTAAAGACGATGGATGGTGGTCTTAATGTAATTCAATTAGAAACAGCTAGTGGAGCAGCCATACAAAGTTTTGCAGGAGCACAAGGTTCAATATTTATAATAATAATAATAATATTGAAATTAAAATGTTTGTATTAGGTATTAATGTTCCACGTCGTCGTTTTCTTCCTGTTAAAACAACATCAGATCTTTTATTGGTTATGTCAAATTTATTTACATCTAATCATGGTAATTTAGTTATGAATGCCAAACGTTCATTTCCTTCTAATCCATTAGTTAAACTTGGAACAAGTTTTACTAAAGTATAGTTCTTTATTTTTTGATTATATCTTACTTTTTTTTATTTAAAAAAAGGTTAAAGATTTTTTATCTCGATTTCAAAGTATACCTGATTGTCTTGAACTCGATAGTCTTACTGTATCAGGTGATGTTACATTTGGTAAAGGTGTTTCATTACGTGTATGTTTTATATCTATATTTCTATTATTTATTGATTCTTTTATATTTAGGGAACGGTAATTATAATTGCAAATCATGGTGATCGAATTGATATCCCAGCTGGCTCTATACTTGACAATAAAATTGTTTCTGGAAATTTACGTATTCACGAACATTAAATTGTTTAGTTTTGGCCTTTAGTCCTACCATTATTCTATCCTAATACATTTATTAGAAAGCTTCCTTTAGCAGAAAAAAATTCGAATCATTCTACGAATTATTTTTTTGCAATAAATAAATAAATAAATAAATAAATAAATAACTGATAGCGTTGTATGTATGTCGAAAAATGCCTATATCCAAATTCGGTGTAAAGTAAATATAAAAATACTCCGGATTTTATGGCTCCATTTCCACTTATTAAATTACTATTGTCTTATTCAAATCAATAAGCAAACCACTTGCTAGGCAGATTAAAGTACAAGCAAAAAATAATGAATTTTCAAGAAATATGCGAGCCTTTCGGCATTTTGTTTATTTACATCGTTGAAATAAATGAGATTTATATCATAATTTTAAAGAGACTAAACTTGAGAAGATATATTTAATAAACGAAATATCTTATTTAATCAAAAGAGAAATATGCAGTGAAATGAAGAAAAAGTATATTTTATTTATTTAAGATTAATTAATGTGGAATTATGGTTTTAATTAATTGCTATAATTTATGATTTATAATTTTATTATGTTTATGTTATGATGTTAGATTTGATGATTAGATTAGTTGTTTCGTACTGATGATGACCGATTTTACTAGTAGGTTCCAACTGAAAACTGATCGAAAATTCTACATTAATTAATCTTAAATAAAATAAAATACATTATTCTTCTTTATTTCACTGCATATTTCGCTTTTGATTCATATCATTCTATATCAATTCGAAATTATAATAGATCAGAAAAATTATTAGTCAATTAGTTTCAAAGATTAGAGCATCAACAAGTTTTAAGTTAGGACGTAGCTATGTACACTCAGGTACACAGAGCCGATCAGCTATGTGCATTCAGGTAGATATAATCAATAGATAAATATTAAGTTATAATATAGTCTTATATGCACTTCATTATTAATATAAATAAAAAGAATTGATCATATCTAACTGAGTGCGCATAGGTGATCGGCTAGTCGGTCGGCCATGTGAACTCAGTTAGGTATAATCAACTATTTTTATTTATATTAATAATGATGTATGTATAAGACTATATTATAACTTAATATTTAGTTATCGATTATATCTACCTGAGTGCACATAGCTACTTCCTTTTTTAAATCTATGACTGATAATATCATGCACAGAGCTGGAAGCCGTGCGATTGACGAGGATAGGTCACCAAGAGTGTGGGTGTGGGTGTGGTCTGTGTGTTAATTAGGAGAAGACTGACACTCAGGCCCGCATACTCACACCCATACCCTTATTACTTATTTTTGGTGTAGGTGGAATGTGAGTGTGGGTGAGAAGAAGATCCACACTCATATCATTTATTTATTCCTTGTACATTTATGTCATTTGAATCAAGACAATAATGTAAAGCCAATGTTTATCAGAACGTTTCTCAGACTTAATGTTTTTGGTCTAGATACTGAATTAGGAAGTATGATTTTACTATAAAATCTACAACAAAGCTGAAAATAACTTGCAAAATTCGTAACAAAACTCTGAAGTTTCTGACATTTATATCAAATCGGAGTTTGTCATTAGTAATCATAGTCTAACTACTACAAATGTATATAGACTCAGCATAAAAGTGATAAAAGAGAAGAAAAATCTCCATTGCAAGTCAACACGCCTCAATTTAGTATTGCTGATCGAAATGGCAATGCAGATTTTCTTGGAACTGTAGGATACATGGCTACTCTAGAAAATTTTCCTTCTGCACTGTGCCGCGCCTGTTTGTGGGTGTGGGTTTTCTCTTCACATTCGCGCGCACACCCACACCTACTCACACCCCTTCCTTCAAACTTGACGAAGTGATTAGTGAATCGCTTACAACTTTAGTTCGACATAAGAGTCTCTTAAACTTAGTATTTATTCAATGTTATGGCAAGACTCACGTCAATGAGATGATGCCATCGTTGACAGACAAAAAATAGAACAGCTAGTGTGACGAAAAATCAACAACACCTTCTCATATGATACCATTTCTACAACCATAATATTTAGTTAGTCAGTCAATTTTTTAATAATTCGATAGAACTAGAAAACGGCACTATATACAATGTTTTGTTCTTCGATACACTAGTCGACGATCTTGACATCATTCTTTCCAGATTCTTGTTTTTCTTGGTAATCAGGCAAGATTCTTTTTAATCTTGAACTGCAGGCAAGATACTTTTTAAGAGGAAAGAAAAAAGAAACTTGCCTGAAGTTCAAGATAAAAGAATCTTGACTGCTTGATCAAGAAAAACAAGAATCTGCAAGGAATAACAAGATATTTAGAATTTCTTGGAGTTCAGACAAGGTTCTTGTGACAAAAAAGGCAAACGTCACGTGATGTCTTTGTGTGCATGTATCTATATATATATCAATGTTTATACGTTATTTATTCATTTTTACATGATTATAGTCATTGATTATTGTGTTCAATTAAATGAACAAAAGATTCCTTTCAAACAATGTTTGGGTTGCATGTCAAGATCAGGTGAATGGAAATATCTAATAGTAAATATACATGTATTGACTCACATTAGTGAGTCAATTTATAATTGATTTTAGAGTTTTGAATAACAACATTATCACAACAACAACTTGGCGTTAGATATCAACCATTATTGATTCTAAATAATAAAAATATCAAAAACACAAATTATAGAGGTAAGTATGTATTTTTAATGTCAATAAAATATCTTAATCATTTTTCTTTGTTTCTTAATTTTATGTAAATAAAATATTTTTATCATTTTTCTTCCTTAATTTTTATGTAAATAAATTACTTTTAATAATTTATTGTTTTTTCTAATAAACGTGTCAGATTCAAGAAAAAAAGAAATCAAGCAAGAAATTCCAATAAAACAGAAGCAGGCAAGAGGTGCAAGACAAAAAGAATCAGACAAGAATTTCAAAAAAGAAAAGAATCATACAAGAATTCTAGAACACAAGAATCTTGCCTGGCAAGATATTTCTTGCCTTGCCAGCCAAGATTCGGTTTACACGAATCTTGTCAGAAAGTCAAGATCTGTTTTTTCAGGCAAGAATCTTGTATAGAAGGAATGGGAAAAGAATCGTGACTGATAACCAAGAAAAACAAGAATCTGGAAAGAACGATGTCAAGATCGTCAACTAGTGTAGATATTTCAAAGTAATTGAAGACTAAGTAGAAATTTGTCGAATATCACTTGCAAACCTCCCTTATTATCATCGAAGATACTTTCAATCTTTTGGAAAACGCCATTGGACAAGTAATAAAAAAGGTATTATGTTGTAATATTTTGAGGCTCGGCTACCCAATATTCTTAACTTGTATGTATAATGAACTTGGGAAAAAGATTAATTTTGTGCTTCATAAAATATTTCAATATGTCATCTTGAAATCAAGTGAAACACAATACTTAATGATATTGTAAGAGTTTTTTGCGACTGTTTACAATCGATTTTTTGATTGAGCCTAATAATCCCTTTCTCAATTCCATTGCTACAAGAATGTTAAATAAGATATTTTGTACGATGTTCTAATAGGTTACTTGATTCCTACAGAGGACACAGAAAGGTTTCTTCGTAGCAGCATAATAGTCTTTTCCACATTCATCTTTTCTATGGGAAATATAAACCTTTTATATGATAGCAAGCAATGCAAAAGACAGAGCCTTAAAGTGTTCGTAGTAAATGTGACTAAAACCATTTCTTAAAATAAATATAAGTAAATCCATTGAGATATTTTCAAAACTCAATATCAATATCTTAGCAAACATCATACAATGCATGCAAGACGATCCCCATGAAAAAATATTTTGAATTAGAACAACTTAAAGTACCCACGAAAAAAAAATTTGCAAAAAATGAGATTGAACGCGTTTTTTTTTATCAATTTGCATGTTTTCGCTAGATTCTAAACGCAGTTTTTCGAACACGTTGGAACGCATTCCCTTTCACGAATAACGCAAACAAGCAGTTCAAGAATGTATTCATTACGATAGGTTGTACTGATATAAAACGCGTTTTTCTTATGAAAGCCTTTTCCATCCGTTTATGTATATTACTTATCCTATCACATTTACATCGTTTTTTTGTATGTTTCTCAGTAACTTCTTTGCCAAAACTTCTAAAGATTTCAGGAAAGAGAAATCATAGTCAGTATAGTAAAAGTTAAAATATAGTTAACATATCCAAATGCTTCTTCTATTTGATTCATACTTAAAATTTTTGTTAGACTTTAACGAAGCATTTGGATATGTTAACTATACTTTAACGTTTGCTATACTGACTACGATTTATCTTTCCTGAAATATTTAGAACTTTGGGCAAAGAAGTTATGGAGAAACATACAATAAAATGATGTAAATATGATAAGATAAGTAATATAGATCAACGGATGGGAAAGGCTTTTATTAAAAAAAATGATAATATAAACTTTGCTAAGTCTTAAAATATGAATCTGAATAGTCGATACAATCATGATTGCCATCAGGGTAGAGGCATGAACGAAATTAGATAGTTTAAAGATGACTCTGGAAAAGACAATCCGATATGTCCTTTGTCAGTTTGTTTCGATTTGTCAGTTCTATTCAGACTATACGATGTGATATTTCTAACCAAAGGATTATATGATGTGATAATTCTAACTACAAGGATGTACGATATGATATTATTAACTACAGGAGTGTACGATGAGATATTTCTCACTATAGGGATACATGATGTAATATTACAAACCGTAGAACTACACCGTGTGATCTTACTAGCTATAAGGATATACGATGTGATATTACTAAACTATAGGACAGTACAATGAGATATTTTCTACCTATAGCACTATACGGTATGACATCTATAACTGTAAGGATATGTGATCTGATATTACTAACAACAGGGCTGTGCGATGAAATATTTCTCACTATAGGGGTATATGATGTAATATTATGAACTAAAGGATTATACGGTGTGATCTTACTAATTACGAGAGT